ACTTTATCCCTAGGGTCTGCTATCTTGTTATTTGCATTTCACTTCGAACTCGCTTTGTGCTTGATTCACACTTTCTGAAGCATTCCTTCGCATAAATCGACTGAATACTGAATACTTGTGTTCAGAAAGAAGAGGAAGAAATTAGGCTTTGGCTTATCCTGAAGGTCAGCTCATGTAGTCATGGGCAGGATGAATATCGAAGTGATCGCCAGTTATGCGGGTATTCGAATAAACAAAGCAGTGCACTTGCTACTTGGGAACAGCTTTGAAGTAGTTACAAGTGTAGACAGGCTCAGAATTATTGCTGCTTGAATTACACACCCTCTTACCTTCTGTATGTAATTTTGCATACAAACCCGCCATTGTAAGTTGACATCCTCCTTTATAAATCAGGTTTTTGGCAACTTGGTGTTCCTTTTTGGGGGGAATGTCTTTGCTGGGATATTTGCAAATTGTCAGAAGCATTTCCAGTTGTGATCGCAAGCACCCTTCCTCTAACCCCCTAACAGCCTCAAGCATATATTGCATGTGTCGTTCACATGGCCGATTAGCTTTGACAGCCATAACGCTACGTCGTTACTATTTTATGAAGTGATTTGTAAGTGTTGGTCCTTAATTAAACTTTACAAGGTCCATTCATGTGCCGCTCTGGACTTTACTTCTGTTCTCACAGCTTTGTTGTTTTATGCATAGAATGTTTATGTTCTATGCTTGGGTCACGGTTACTTAAACAGTTTGTTAACCAATTAAACAAGCTGATCGTAGAAGAAGAAGAAGAAGAAAAGAAAATATATACGCACACATTACTGACTTTCCTCGTTTTGAGATTACTCCCGTTTATTCTGTTTCCTATCTTTCCTACCTCAGAGCACTTTATTACTCGCTTTATGCTTTTTGAATATCAATTCGATGTACCCAGCCTGGTTTCACTTCTTTAACGTCATCGCCGCTTTCGTTGTATCACCAAGTGCCATGCCTGTCCTTCGCTCCTCTTGTTAGGCTGTGGAGAGCCTAAAACGCAACAAAGGGACCCCACGGCCGCGTATATCAAAGCGGGAGACGCTGGCGAACGTGTTTGGGCGGCCCTTCTCTTGGCGCTGGTTTAGTCCTTTTCATCCACCGGCACCACTCACGCCAGTAGTGCCACCGCTTCCGCAGGAAAGCGAGACTACCGAAGGTGTCTCCGACCTCGAGATGCACTCTTCACAGCAGCACCAACACCGTCACCGCGAGGATCACTACGATGACATCTATCTTGTATAGACAGACGCTTGCTCCCCTTCTCTTACCCCCACATCATCCGTCTGTGCACGGTCGTGTGTGCACAAGTGCCTCTCGACTCCATCAGTTGTCTTCTCACTCCTCTTCTCTTTATGCTTTCCTACGGCTGTGCATTAAAGCCGAGAACCAAATTGTATGTACGTAATTTATAAGTTTTTTTGTGTGTGAGTCTTCTTCATTTCTACTAACAAAGATAAGCAATTCGACATCCGTGTTGGAGCTCTTTTTCGTTCAACTGTGAGAGGAGTAGCATCTTAGTTGCACTGTGTCCGTTTCTACTCTTAACTTTTAAATGTCCTTGAGGTATGTCGAGTTACTATCAATGCATCTAAAACTAGCAAGTTTCCATCGATGTATAGTGCGATTTGTTCCTCCAAGTTTCCATGATGCTGCCCATATCGATATGGGAACGTCTTTATGTTGTTAGCTAGTGGATCACTTATTATCGCGCGGCTGTTGCACTACCAGCAGTTTCACGGACTCAGAGGTCTTTTAGACAAGCA